CCTGCTGGCCACACTCTTCTTGATGCACCCCAGGATTCCATTGGCCTTCTTGGCAGCCAGGGCACACTGCTGGCTCATGGTTAACCTGTCGTCCACCAGGACACCCAGGTCCCTCTCCACAGAGCTGCTCTCCAGCAGGTCCACCCCAAGCCTATACTGATGCATGGGGTTGTTCCTCCCCAGGTGCAGGACCCTGCATTTGGCTTTGTTGAACCTCATCAGGTTCCTCTCTGCCCAGCTTTCCAGCCTATCCAGGTCACGCTGAATCAGCTGAGGCGTTGTCCTCCATCCCCGTACATGGTTTTGTAGGTGATAGATTTGGTGGGCTTTCACTGCGATGCAGGTATGGCAGCAGTTACTGACTCGATTTCCTCATTCTCTGATGTCTCTTCCCTGTCTTCCACTTATGATCCTTCCTTGTCATGGTATGTCTAATTCAGATGGAAATTCCCCAGCGGCAGCAAGTGGCTGCTGGTTCGTGTTTCTGGGAAGGGGATGGGGAAGAGCTGCCTGGTGAGGTGAGTGGAGGGGCTGCAGCCTCTCACCTGCCTCTCCCAGTGCTTCGCTGGGCACTTACCATCTTCACTGAGAAGTGACACGTGCAGAATGTGTATTTAAAATCAGCAAGTAATAAATTTGGAAGAAATGAGCAGATGAATGAAGTGTGATGAATGATAGTATGATGGCAGTATGAAATAGCTCATGAGCATTTGGATAAATGTCTTTTTTGTAACTCCTTTGGAGCACTGAATTCCACAAGGTTCTTGGTAAGCAGATCATGTGAGTTGGCTTCTGAAATAATCCCTTTCCCCTTCCTTTAACAAATTGGTCTCTACATTTCTTCCTTTCCTATTGGTACCAAGTGTTTATGGTCAGTAGATTTCTTTTTGCCCTGGTAGAACTGGTTCTTTTTTTTTTTCCTGTTCTATGTAAGTATGTATTTCCTGGTTGATTCTCTAGAGCTTCTGACGTTGTCCATTTTCTCTGGGTGCTTACATTCGTCCCGATGCATGAATGAAGGTTTGGAGTTGTTCTTTCTCTTTAAATGAGAGCATCAGGGTCTTCTATGTGTCGTGAATGTTGGTTTAGGTAGGGGGGGCCTTTGGGAACTGTGGCAGTGCTGTGGGCATGATGGCAACAGCAAAAAATACCTCTCAGCAACAGACGAGAACCACTTTCTTTTAATGTTTAGTTTCTTTTGAAGAAGTCATTAGTTCTGGCTAAGTTTTAAATTTGTGAGATCAGTTCTCTCTTCGTCATGTGTGACTGGATCAGAGAGTCCCTTGATTGTGATGGTCAATTATTTGCAGTGGACTTATGTCAGTTTTGCTTTGTAAATCCATGTGAAACATGGCGAGACTGTTAATCTTACCTGTGATATTCCTGATGAAATGCATTTTCAATATTCTTTGTTTCTGCCAAAGGAACATGGATGCTTTCTGGATGTTGTGTAGGCGAGCTGAGCCTTTGTATCCGTATTCACTGTGCGCAATCCTTAAAATCGCAGCGCGTCTGGGGTCCTGTTTGTCATTTGATAGGGGAGCGCTTCTCCTCCTTCAGCCACTGCCCTCCTTTGGCTTGGATGTCAGCCACAGAACGCATCTGATGCCAAACGATGGAAAATGCTCTCCCAGCAGCTTCATCTGGCTCAGCTGCTACCCAGCGTTTGCCTGTGTTGTGTGTCTTTTCCTCCTAAGTTGCAGTGGAGTCTCCTTCTCTGGAGATATTCAAGACCCGCCTGGACAAGATCCTGTGCAGCCTACTGTAGGTGACCCTGCTTCGGCAGGGGGTTTGGACTAGATGACCCACAGAGGTCCCTTCCAACTCCTACTATTCTGTGATTCTGTGATTCTGTGACTTTGACGGGGCTGTGTGTGCTCACCTCCTAGGTCGGTCGGAGAGCGCGATTTTAGCGCGGTGAGCAAATCATCCTCTGGCGGGTCCGTGGCTGAGCGGCTGCCATGCTGCTGTCGGTAGGTCCAGTTACAATGTTTGCCGTGTAAGAAACAAGATCCTTAGGGCGGGGCGTCATCCTTGATTTTTGTGTGTGTGCCCTTTTGATACCAAGCCAGCTGCGTTTTGGATCTAAGACAGCCTGGGTGTGTTGAACTCAGTAACAGCCTGTTTAGCTTTTCATTTTGAAAGGAAGTTAGTTTGGGATATACTTTTTTCCTAGTTTCTGCCTTTAAATAGCTCAGCTTTTAAACTTCTTCTTATGAAGAAGACTTGTTACATGCTACCTTTACCGTGATGCCCAAGCTTTCTTTCAGCCTTTCTTCAGAAGCCAGCCGCCTGAGTTTCTGCAGGTAATGCAGCGGTGCGTTGCTAACAGAGATGCAGCTTTGCAGGAAGCACCTGTGCATTTAATAATCAGTTCAGCAGAAGACTTTATGAGCCAGAGGACTTGTTTTATACCCATAACAAATGGCTCCTCTTTTCTTGGGCTTACCTGCAAATCACTTTTTTTAACTAGACTGCGTAGTACTATGGGCCATTGAAAAACAGTGGCTGTTTTCTGTGTGAATGAATGTGACTCACTTCAACAAAGTCTTCGAAAACAGAAGTTGAAGCTTCTTTTTTGCAATGTCTTTCAGATTTCAAGGTCTGAGCTCACTG